GCTCAATCCAAATGGCTAAATCATATTACCCACAAATTACGCGCTCGAACCTACTGCATGAAACCTACTGACACCAACCTACTGACTCCAACCTACTCGATTCCAAATTACTGATACAATCCTTCTTTGTTAACCCTGCTTGCTTAACCCCACAGACTCAATCTACTTGCTCCAACCTACTGACCTAAACATACTGGATCAAACCTACAGAAACCAACCAACTGACTCCAACCTATTCACTTGAAACTACGGCTTCATACATTCTGGCTTAATCCTGCTGGCTTAACCCCACTGACTTCAATCTACTTGTTCCAACCCACTGTCTCCAACCTACTCGCTCCAACCTACTGACTCCAACCTGCTGGCTTAACCCCACTGACTTCAACCTACTTGCTCCAACCTACTGACCCCAACCCAGTTGCTCCAATACGTATTATTTAACAAGTTCCCACTCCGCATGATACGGCGAGGTCAACAATGAAACTGTATGCGCCTGATTCAGACGCTCAATGAAAATGTACGTGTCTGATTCAGACAATCAATGAAACTGTACGTGTCTGATTTAGACATTCAATGAAACAACATTTGAACGCATGAATTATAAGAATTAAATGTCAATGTGGTAACAGCCTTCAAGAAAACATAATAAGAGAGGCAGCCACGTAGCTCCCGCCTGTAGAATGCATAATTATTTGGTTTTTCTCATTGTTAATGATCATAAGGCTTTAAACCCAGAGCTAGCAATCTAAGTTTTTAAGTTCCTTGAAGATTTTAAGGGCTTCATCCATCGAATAAAAATGTATCCGTGTTGCATTGTGAAAACTTAAAATAGAAATAAATAAATACGTGTCTACAATCTCTTGATCTTGGAAACTATATCAGGGATCGAGCTTGTATATTCGGTCACGTCTTTCATTTAATGGCCACTCTTAATTAATGGCAACAATTTCCATTTGTCAGCTCCGGCTAGGCATGAAATCACGCGCAAGAGAGATAACCGAGAAATGCTCCAACTCGCTCTAAGATAGTTTTTGTTCCCCTTTAATAATTTTAAATGTTGTTAACAGGAAGTATCTCAAGCAGAGTTTGCCCAACTCGGGGTGCACACAAGCCCAGGGGGTGCTAAGTGGTAATTTATGGGGTGTGACAATAGAAAGCGGGAGCCTTTGATTTTTAAGTTATGATATAAATGGTCATCATTTTTTTTCATAGTTGCTGCAGTCGGTGATCTACTATTGCTCTTTCGAGCGAGCCTTCGTGTCTCAGCTGTGGTTATCCTACTGGCTTCATCAGATTTAGCCCCTTTCTTGACAGCTTTCCACCTGGCTCTGCCCTGGGCTGTCTGCACCCATTGAGTAGGGTTGATGATGAAGGCCTTCAGTGCCGCTTTCAGTGAGTCTTTGTAACGCTTTTTTTTTTTTTGGCCTCCTTGGGAGCGCTTGCCTATCGTGAGTTCTCCGAAGAAAATCTGTTTTGAGAGCCAGTGATCTTCCATACGGGCTACGTGTCCCATCCAACGGAGTTGAGACTGCATCAAGATGGTGAAGATACTAGGTAGGTTCGCTCTAGTGAGGACCTCTGTGTCAGGAACTTTGTCTTGCCACCTGATTCCGGGGAGTTTCCTGAGGCAGGTAGTGTGAAAATGATTCAGTTTCCTGGCGTGACGCTGGAAGACTGTCCACGTTTCACATCCGTAAAACAGTGTCGGAAGGACTGCTATGCTATAGACCTTGATCTTCGTTTCTCGTCTGGTACCTCTCCTGTCCCAAACAGTGTTGCGGAGCCTGCCAAATATGGCACTAACTTTTGCGAGTCTGGCATTCCTTTCATCGTACATGACGACAGATCTGGAGAGATTGTAAGTATTATGTGTTCTGCAAGGCTGTCTGATGCGTTCAAGGACTCCATCAAGCGCTTGACAATCCAATTTTGTACCGATGGATCAGTATTCGACCTTAGGAGGCTTCAAGCTGAAACCAAGGTCAAACATAACACCATCAACGAGCTCCTGTTTACGGACAATTGGGCGGTCAACGCTGCCTCAAAGGCCGTCAAGCAACACAGCGCTGATGTCTTCTCTGAGAAGGCAACAATATTACATGTAACAATGACTAGGTGAATCAAGGTGGCATAAGTATTTATAAGAAGAATGCAACACTTTTACATGTAACAATGTATAGGTTAATTAAGGTGGCATAAGTATTTATAAGAAGAATTCAACACTTTTACATGTAACAATGTATAGGTTAATTAAGGTGGCATAAGTATTTATAAGAAGAATGCAACACTTTTACATGTAACAATATATAGGTTAATTAAGGTGGCATAAGTATTTATAAGAAGAATGCAACACTTTTACATGTAACAATGTATAGGTTAATTAAGGTGGCATAAATATTTATAAGAAGAATGCAACACTTTTACATGTAACAATGTATAGGTTAATTAAGGTGGCTTAAGTATTTATAAGAAGAATGCAACACTTTTACATGTAACAATGTATAGGTTAATTAAGGTGCCATAAGTATTTATAAGAAGAAGGCAACACTTTTACATGTAACAATGTATAGGTTAATTAAGATGGCATAAGTATTTATAAGAAGAATGCAACACTTTTACATGTAACAATGTATAGGTTAATTAAGGTGGCATAAGTATTTATAAGAAGAATGCAACACTTTTACATGTAACAATATATAGGTTAATTAAGGTGGCATAAGTATTTATAAGAAGAATGCAAGACACGTTTACATGTAACAATGACTAGGTGAATCAAGGTGGCATAAGTATTTATAAGAAGAATGCAAGACACGTTTACATGTAACAATGACTAGGTGAATCAAGGTGGCATAAGTATTTATTGAAAAAAATTCACCACTATTGTCATATGTAGCTACCATTAGTTGAATGAAACGTTATTCAATCCTTAACAGCTGAGTATCGGACGAATCCCTCATTGTGACAAGGTACAATGACTCCTGAAATGACCGGTGGAAATCAACTCGCAGCTTTTTCATTTTTATTTTCAGATACTTTAGTGAAGCGCACCATCCTTGGCGATATTGAAACTGTACGGGTCTGATTCAGACAATCAATGAAACTGTACGGGTCTGATTAAGACAATCAATGAAACTGTACGGGTCTGATTCAGACAATCAATGAAACTGTACGGGTCTGATTCAGACAATCAATGAAACTGTACTGTCTGATTCAGACAATCAATGAAACTGTACGGGTCTGATTAAGACAATCAATGAAACTGTACGGGTCTGATTCAGACAAACAATGAAACTGTACGGGTCTGATTCAGACAATCAATGAAAATGTACTGTCTAATTCAGACAATCAATGAAACTGCACGTGTCTGATTCAGACAATCAATGAAACTGCACGTGTCTGATTAAGACAATCAAGGAAACTGTACGGGTCTGATTCAGACAATCAATGAAACTGCACGTGTCTGATTAAGACAATCAAGGAAACTGTACGGGTCTGAGTCAGACAATCAATGAAACTGTACGGGTCTGATTCAATTAATGAAACTGTAGGTGTCTGATTCAGACAATCAGTGGAACTGTACGGGTTTGATTCAGACAATCAATGGAACTGTACTGTCTGATTCAGACAATCAATGAAACTGTACTGTCTGATTCAGACAATCAATGAAACTGTACGGGTCTGATTCAGACATCAATGAAACTGTACGTGTCTGATTCAGACAATCAATGAAATTGTACGTGTCTGATTCAGACAATCAATGGAACTGTACGTGTCTGATTCAGACAATCAATGAAACTGTACGTGTCTGATTCAGACAATCAATGGAACTGTACTGTCTGATTCAGACAATCAATGGAACTGTACTGTCTGATTCAGACAATCAATGGAACTGTACTGTCCGATTCAGACAATCAATGGAACTGTACGTGTCTAAAATCAACGGATAAATGGAGACTGTACTGTCTGTACATAGCTAGCATTGTTCAAGTCATATATGGTCTCAACAGTCACTTCATGTCCACGGTCCGGCTCATTTTGTCAATGTTACACATACATTGATGTCTTAGAGTCACATTATTTCCCCCCCCCCCCCCTATCTTCAGTAATGTTTCTAACCACCACACATGATAAAACTATAGAAATGTTACAGTCAGTTGGGTCTTTATCGAAGCTAGCGTGGCTTAAGTACAACGTAATTCATAAAACACGACGACGAAATTTGAGGTAAACGTTTAAGGAGTTTTTCAAGTAGCTGTAAGTGTTATACTGAAACACTTGAGTCATAACATAACATAAAACACGTCATGAGTGTGGAGTTGTTATGACCAGTTGTCTTGTTGAAGTCATATCAACAGCCGTCTTGGTCACGATGAACTGGACGCTCTCTCATGACGATACCCTTTCCAATGTTAAGATATTCCTTGGCCTACTAACCCAAAGTCAGATTTTAATCTTTTCAATAAGAAAAGATATATAAAGATGTCGTCTTCTTCTATATTTTAAGGGCATACGATCAATGTATTGATCACTCTTGGGTCCTATTTATGTTGAGGGGGAATGCGATGTTCCTGTGCATGTTTTTTCGAAGAGGATACTTCACTGGTTGCAATGAATACTCAGCGATGATATTAGGAACTGGGGTTAGGAAGGCAGCAGGTGATAGACGCAAATGCCTCAAGCGCTCCTTTTGGAAGCTAGTTCCAGTCCCTGATTGTCTTTGGCAGGAATGAGCAGTTTCTGCATTGTGTTCTTGCTGTTAGGAGCCGGACATGCGTGTCATGGCCTCGTTGCTGTCTAGGGGGGAGAGAGGGACAAGTGTCTGTGTAATACTGAAGCAGTGGACCCGACATTTTTTTTTTTTTTTTAATCTTGAACATCATGAAGATATTACCTGTGAGAGAGATATTACATTTTATTCTTCTACATAAAATTAATTTTTAAGATAACCCTAACATTAAAATAACACATTCACAGGGGAAGGTTTTACGCAATGTTAGAACCACGGATCCTGTGGCGTCGTAGTGATGGTACGGAGAGCTTTATCTTACTGATAACATAAAGTTATCACGATTGGCGTTTTGAAACGGTGCTCAAAGTTTCATCAGCTTGTTCAAAGACCAGGCGTTGTGTAACCAGATACAAGAAAAGGTTGGTGTTTTTGTTTTTTTTAAATAGAGAATGCATTATACATTTAAGTCAGATTCATGTGCTACCATATTTATATTGACTTTTGTCGAAATAGCATCCCCTTCTAATCGGATAGAGTTGGAAATTAACTCGGGCGTAGCGGGGTGTTTCTTCTGAAGGTAGCAAAATTAATATGGTAAAGTAAACACTAAAATTAGTATGGTAAAGTAAACACTAAAATTAGTATGGTAAAGTAAACACTAAAATTAGTATGGTAAAGTAAACACTAAAATTAGTATGGTAAAGTAAACACTAAAATTAATATGGTAAAGTTAACACTAAAATTAATATGGTAAAGTAAACACTAAAATTAATATGGTAAAGTAAACACTAAAATTAGTATGGTAAAGTAAACACTAAAATTAATATGGTAAAGTAAACACTAAAATTAATATGGTAAAGTAAACACTGAAATTAATATGGTAAAGTAAACACTAAAATTAGTATGGTAAAGTAAACACTAAAATTAGTATGGTAAAGTAAACACTAAAATTAATATGGTAAAGTAAACACTAAAATTAATATGGTAAAGTAAACACTGAAATTAATATGGTAAAGTAAACACTAAAATTAATATGGTAAAGTAAACACTAAAATTAATATGGTAAAGTAAACACTAAAATTAATATGGTAAAGTAAACACTAAAATTAATATGGTAAAGTAAACACTAAAATTAATATGGTAAAGTAAACACTAAAATTAATATGGTAAAGTAAACACTAAAATTAATATGGTAAAGTAAACACTAAAATTAATATGGTAAAGTAAACACTAAAATTAATATGGTAAAGTAAACATATATATATATATATATATATATATATATATATATATATATATATATATATATATATTAATGTGTCACTATCTAGGGTTTGAACTCCAATCCAACGGTTTGGAATAGACACATTTTTCAACCACTCAGCCATCCAGCCATCGTCCATATCAACACATTTGTTTGGAAATAAACTTTTAAAAATAATTATAGCGCCACCAAATTTAAATAATTTTTGTGTGTGAATAATCACCGACTTTGAGCATTTGATTTCCTACAAAATGTGAAGACGTATGGATTCATACTGGGAGATGTAGATACGGTATTGTATTGTGTAAGACACGGTAGTGTGATGTGTAAGACACGGCAGTGTGATGTGTAAGACACGGCAGTGTGATGTGTAATACACGGTAGTGTGATGTGTAAGACACGGCAGTGTGATGTGTAAGACACGGTAGTGTGATGTGTAAGACACGGTAGCGTGATCTGTAAGACACGTAGTGTGATCTGTTAGACACGGCAGTGTGATGTGTATGACACAGTAGTGTGATTGTTGAGACCCGCTGGTCCTCACCTTTGTCAGACCCGCTGGCTCCACTCTCTCCATCGCTAACCTACGCGATCATTGATACCCCACGCGACATTACACAATTAGGCTGGGCCTTAAAATAATAAAAGTAGACTCAAAGAACAATTGAAATTAACTTATTCACTTTGGTCATGACCCAGTTTAAACAATGCACACATTCTGCTCAGCATTAGAACGCGGAGTACTAACGCGGAGTCCCAAGCCACGCATGTCAGTCATTTAAACCCGACTCTTGAATGCCACGCTTGAATGCTGGACAAGCACGCCACATTTAGAGTATATATTGAAGACCCAAATCATGTATCGGCCTCTCTTACCTGAATTATGTCAGAAGAGCCTGGCTGGCATAATTAGTTGATAAAGTGTGTTTATCCTGATTGTGTTGGGTTAGTATTGTTCACTTTCATATTCATGTATACTGGTATGTAGAGTCGTAGTTGTAATGTTATTAAGAAAATGGTAGGGCAATAGTTACTATTGATAATTAATGTTTGATTAGGATAACTATTAATAATTTATAATGTGATGTGATTTGTAATTCTTAGCTTTGTCTTATGCATTGTATTTATTGTTCTCATTTCTAGCCAGTAAATTACATGAAGTAAATTACATGAAGTAAATTACATGAAGTAAATTACATGAAGGAAATTACATCCAGTAAAGTACATGCAGTAAAGTACATGCAGGAAAGTACATGCAGTAAGTTACAGTAAGTAACCTTTGGCCGGTAAAGAATATTTGACCAGAAAGTATTAGTAGGGTAAATAACATTTGGTCAGAGTTGTAATAGTTCAATAAATAATATCTAGAACTAAAGTTAGTACAGTTCAGTTAGAGGAGGCGCGTGACTAGCACGAGAGAAGTCAAAGGAATCAAACAAGATGGTAGCATATACTGTGTGTGTGTAACCCACAGTAAAGTTCAAAGTCGGCACCTACCTCCTCACAGTGCCAGTGACCTGAGACACTTACGCAGTCAAGTCGCCCAACCCCGCAGTGTGTTGTGACCCGAGCAGAGGGCTGCTGTGGTGTGTGTGTGGGACTTGCTTATTTGACCAGATCGCCATTGAGAGCCTACTATGCAGTATCTTGTTATCCTGTTTATGTGTATATTATATGTAATGTGTATGCTGATAATTCTGTTTTTTATAATTAAATATTTATTTGTGGGCTAAACCACTCTTGTGTTATTAGTATAGTTAAAGTATTACTAGAATAGCAAGTGAGAGCTAGTGTGAGTTTCATTGAATGATAGAGTGAGTGTGGAGTAGGATTAGTGTAGAACACTTCATCAGGAAATTAATCGTACCCTAGACATAGCCAGTGACATTACTAATCTAACGTAGAGGAAAGGGACCTTTGTTTGTTTATACAAACATAAATATTAGAACAACACATAGTTTTAACAGTGATGTGTAAGACACGGTAGTATGATCTATAGGAGTGAAGTTTAAGACACCTTAGGGTTTACAGCGTAAGTGATGATATGATGTTATGTCGGCGGCAATAAATGGTAAATGATAAGACTTATATAAGAGAAAGAAACGTAAATAATTGCCACAATCCAGATCTGGAGATATTTGTTGTTTTTTACCTTGTTGATAAATGTGTATCGATGAGATAAAAGAGCATCTAACAGATAAGAAACGGCCCAACACCTACATGTGATAGCGATACCTTTAAATTTGACAACAGGTTCAAACACTTCAACTTTATCTAACATAGATATTTATCATTAAGTAGGTAAGCTTTGAAAGATGCGTAGTGATCCAACAGCTTTCAGGGGCGATGTCCATTTCTATAGTGGCAAAGTTTACCTTCAACACAAATATGTATAGTTTCTAAATGCTAAACTGTGCTGAAGATATGGAAAGGAAAATTTATCAAGTCAATCCTTAACTCTGTCACTGAAAGGGATCTCAACCCTTAACTCTGTCACTGACAGGGATATCAACCCTTAACTCTGTCACTGACAGGGATCTCAACCCTTAACTCTGTCACTGACAGGGATCTCAACTATTCTCCACCCTTAACTCTGTCACTTACAGGGATCTCAACCCTAAACTCTGTTAAAGACAGGGATCTCAACCCTTAACTCTGTTAAAGACAGGGATCTCAACACTTAACTTTGTCACAGACAGGGATCTCAACCAATGTTCCCTTTATGCTGTGCGGCTGCGCGGCCGCGCAGTAATCTCACAGACGCCGCGCAGCAGTCTTGAGTACCGCACAGCTAATTTCCACTTAAGTGTGTCTTTGTTTCTGTAGGCTGTAAAATTTGCGCACAAAAAATTGATGCTGTAAAAATGTGCACACAAATTTATAATTTTTCACACGAACCAACAAACCTTAGAGGGAACATTGATCTCAACCCTTAACTTTGTTACTGTCAGGGATCTCAACCCTTAACTCTCTCAATGTTAGGGATCCCAACCCTTAACTCTGTCACTGTCAGGGATCTCAACCCTTAACTCTCTCAATGTTAGGAATCACAACCCTTAACTCTGTCACTGTCAGGGATCTCAACCCTTAACTCTGTCACTGACAGGGACCTCAACCCTTAACTCTGCCACTGACAGGGATCTCAAACCTTTAACTCTGTCACTGACAGGGATCTAACATTTTGTCACTTCGGTAAATGAATTATTATGGTTGTTTTTTTTTTTCTAATGTAAAAATAACGTTAAAACTTTATGAGAAACGTTTCGATTGAAACACAGTGTGCTGAACATGACATCTAGGAATAGATGTTGCACCAGTTTTCACACTATCTGTGTGTTCATAGTTGTTATACATCTCCTTGCTGCTGATTGTTAACTATTCGGAGTACAAGAGGCGCAAGCAGCGTAGGTCGCTCGACGAGCTAACACTCTCATTTGTTGTTTTTTTTTTGTTTTTTTTTAAACTATCATTCTATGTAGTGAAAACATTTCTGTGTGCCTAAGTTAAAATCACTGTATCTTTATACAAAATTGTATTTTTGTTTTCTTTTAATTAATGGCTTACCTTCAGATAGAATGCTCGGGAAACACTTGCTGTAAAGATTCAATTAGGGGAACGAGTTCGAGTCCAGTGCGATTCAATTCGTTGACCCTAATGAAAACCTGCCATGGAAGGGGACGCACCGCGTAACCATGACAACGCTGACAGGAAGTCCACCCCTGTACAAGATCCATCTCAAGAACCAGCACAGAACAAACAAGACCAACATGACGGAGACGCACACGAAGAGATTGACCATGATATGGCCAGAACTGATTTCGGTGAGGACAGTGCATCATCAACGGTCGGATACAAGGGGGTGATGAGTGGTGGTGTAGGGGCCGAGGGGAAAGATGGTGGAAAGCATCAAAAAATGGTGATTACAATAAGCGCATGTAAGTGAAGATCTTCTTATGCTTTTAAAAATGTATTCTATTATCTCAGTTAACCAGAAATTTTTTGATGAGGGCTTACATTGTAGCGGATATTTGATTTCATTGCCATACTTCAGCATTCACAGCTATACATTCAATATTCAGCCATTCGATTTCACAGCTATGAATTTACAATATGGCTATTGAATTTATCAGCCATGCATTGAACATACAGCTATTTAATTTCACAGCCATATTTTCACCTAACGTCATTTATAAATTCAGTGCCAACGAAGAAGAAGCCAAGCATTTTTGTGACGAGTTTACTTGTGTACTGCAGCCACTTTCTGACAGCTTGGGTGAGTACGGCATGAGATTGTACACATTTAATGTACTTACTGTACAATGTACTCGGGTGAGCTCTACATGAGATTGAACACATTTGGTGTACTTTCTGTACATTAGGATTGGTGAGTACGGCATGAGATTGTACACATTTGATGTACTTACTGTACGTACACTGTGATTGGGTGAGTACAGCAAGAGACAGTTCATATTTGGTGTACTTACTGTACACTGGCCTTGGGTGAGTTCAACATGAGATTGTACACATTTGATGTACTTACTGTACACTGTGCTTGGGTGAGTACGGCATGAGATTGTACACATTTGATGCTCTGCGTTTGGTTTAAAAATGGAAAAGTATAAAGTAACATCCGTACGCTTTATATCATTTGCATTTTCTAACACATGTTTACCTCACCCCACCCCAAAACCGAGCATCCTAAAAGGTAAAAGGTCCCCCATGTCCTGTCTAACACTACCCCCCTCCCCCCCCCCCTAAATCACCATTTCTTTTTAACTTTTGAAATGTGTTAACATTTCACCCTGATATTTGATTTCCCTCCATTTTCTTCACATCGCTTCCTTGTTGGGCGTACGCACGATTTTCATAAACACTTCTATTTAGGGCAGCGTTTTTTGCCATGGAAATACTATGACTCTTTAATATGTTTAATAACTTTATGAACACATAATAGTTTTAATTACTTTAAATTCCTATGCACCTGTGCAAAGAAATACTTTAAAAAAGAAAATTATTTTTGCCATCCTTTTGTTTTAGGGTGACCGGATGTGGACATTTGCAGTCGGGATTTTTATGGTCCATATCACCCCTGACTCACTCCAGCTCACCGCCATCTATGGACTTACCATGGGGACCACCGTCTTACTAGGGGGAGCTATCATTGGGGATTGGGTCGACAACTCCACCAGACTCAGAGGTGAATATTTGTAATGTAATTGTAATAATCACACAAATAGTGGGGGGGGGGGGGGGGGGGGGGGAGAGAATATATTCATTAGCCCGAAATGGTTGTATCAACGATTTCATCAATCTATGTATTTAATGATTGTATCTATAAGTGTATCTATAATTGTATCTATGATTGTATCTATGATTGTATCAAAAATTGTGTCTGTGATTGTATCAATGATTGTATCAATGATTGTATCACTCATTGTATCACTGATTGTATCAATGATTGTAACAGTGATTGTATAGGGTGGTTACAACTATGTTACTATAATTCATATGTTTTTCCATTTTTGTGTTGTTGTTTTGGAAGCTGGTTTAATGGAATATTTTCGCATCCAAGGATGCCTGAATTTCTTTAACTGTTACCCAAGTCTATAAAACTACACTTTAGATCGTACACAATACTTCTATTTTGACCGTGTTCCTCATTCCAGCTGCACAACTGACCATCGTGTTACAGAACGTGCTCATCATACTGTGTGCGGCCGTCATCTACTGCTTCCTGATGTTCAAAGAGGAACTGTTGGACATCGGCGAGTGGACCAGGTACGTCGCCTACGGGCTGATCATCTTGCTGGCATCAGCTGCCAACCTCGCCACCATCGCCAACACGATTGCCGTGGAGAAAGACTGGATCGTTGAGATCTGTGAGAGAGACGAGGAGAAGTTGGCAAGTAAGGACTGATGAATTAGTGGTATAACTTTCTGAAAGACTGTTGTTGTTTTTTTGTGTTATTTTGTCAATTTAAATGATAGATTTATTAAATATAAATAATTGTGTTGATTATTTTCTAGTCCACTATTTTATTATCTTTAATTTGAGTCGAGAAATAAGGATGATCAATAATTCCCTGCTAGCCAGAGATTAGGTAGTTACTAAATTTAAAACCTTCGCTGCCTCGTCATGGAAACAACCACGGGGTATCAGCTTGTTGCCGTGGTAGATCGCCGGCTTGAGGCTTCCCTTGGGAAGTAGAGCTGGACAGGAGATTACCAGTCTCCACCTTAACCAGGTCTTGACATCAACTGTTTCCAAACCACACTCTCTTTACGAGTGATGACCAATTATCTATAGTTTTATATTGGAATTCTAATAATCTATTAAATTAAACAAGAAAACTTCAATATATTTTTTTTTAAAAATTCCTAATCGAAGATTGATATCGATTCCTATATCAACTCGGTCAGCCATTAAGTTTTCTCCGGCCTCCTCTGAATTCGGTTTTTCAATGCTCATATTACCACCTCCCATCCATGGTTGACTCTCTTCAAAGCCATGACTGCAACTATGCGTGCCATTGACTTGAGCACACAGATCCTGGCACCGATCGTCACTGGTCAGGTCATGGAGTGGTCAGTGGAAAATGGCGCCATCTTTCTATCGTCTTGGAACGCGGTCTCGTGCATCGTTGAGTACTTCCTCTTGTTTAAAGTGTACTCAACAGTGCCGGCACTCATGAAGCGGAAGGACTTCCGTAGACCTGCAAGTAAGTTCATTTAAATGTCATTTTCTGTTTAAATTTTGTTAATTTTTAATTATTTTTTTTCCGCACTAGTTAATAACAACATCACCAAAACCATTTTGTAGAATTTATTTTACTTTTAATTTTATTAATTAAAATCCAATGATCTAGCATTGTATCATTTGGTATCCAAACAGTTCTCATCGGTTTTCTTTGTAGTGGTCACTATATGGGTGCATTCATCTCGAAGAATGTGCTTTTTACCGACTCCTGAGCTGTGCACATGTCGTGTAAAGAAATGTGCTCCCGAATGGTTAGATTGGCGTGTGTCAGTACGGGCACAGTGCCAACCATCGATGCAAAATTCAAGCTTTCAACATATTTAAAGTGTTAACTAAATGCGCCCACCCATTAATAAATTTAAACAGCTTATTAAGAGTACGTTGGAATGCATATGTTTGGTACAACCTCGAAAACCCCCCACCCCCCAAATGTCTCTATGAAACGGCTGTAAGCCGCCATCCTGGCTTAAGGGAGATGTTCTGTACCACCTCACTCCCACCATGTCTCCAGGAGAAGGCTGTAACCCACCAATCTCATTAAAGGGAGACGTTCTCTCCAAATTCTTTATTTTGGTAGGGGTGTGACGAAAGGTCATTGATCATATTCAACATAAAACCTATAAGAAGTTTAGATACTTTTTTTTTTTTTTTTTTTTGCATTTCGCATAGTTTTTCGGCAAAGTGATCCACGGAGCATCCAACTTGTCATACACCCTAGAGACTTGCCCAACTGAGCAATGCTTTCCTTTTTTTAAGTTAGTTTTGATGTATAACATCAAATAAAATTATAATTCAGTGTACTAAATTGTATTTCTCTCATGTTTTGTACTGCATTATTTGTTAACACATTGAAGAGCTTCATTTCATAATAGGAATATTTGTTTCAGAGGATGGTGAGAATTCTGAACAAATCACAAGCCGGTAAGAAAATAATACTAATGAATTCTTTTTTGTCATGCATTTTTATTACTAAAGAATGTGGTATGTGAGAGCCGTATCCGGAAATTTGTTCGAAAGAAATTTTGTCGACGGTAAATTGATCGACGGTAATTTGATCGAACGGAAATTGGGTCGAATAATTTTTTTCAGGTTGTACGTTAAAATTTTGCTTCAAATTTCTTTTTTAACGCATTTTTTTGTTTTACTATATAGTATAGCGCGTTAAAAAAGAAATTCGACGAAAATTTTAAAGTGTGAACTGAAAAAAAGATTCGACCAAATTTCCGTTCGATCAAATCTCCGTCGATCAATTTACCGTAGACGAAATTTCTTTCGATCAATTTTCCGGTAAACATGTGAGAGCAGATTAGAAGTGGGATTTTTTTTTTTTTTTTTTAACCTTTATATTAATTTTGCTTTATTCTTGGCTGGCTGGGTGTCGAACTGGCAAAATGGACCCCCTTTTCCGTCAACATAGACACGCTGCCAACGACAACTCATTCTTCCAAATTTTCACCAGCCATCCCCAACCCCCCCAAAGTTCACCCTTTTTCAATAGGGGAGATGAAGGAAATACGATGGTACCGCTTTCACGAAATAATAATTCCCGCTAACTGTGCTCCATCAGATTGGTTTGTTGTTTAATTATCGCAAGTGCGTTTGTCACGCAATACTTTCTTTTAATTTTCGGAAATGGTGAAAAAATTCCGCGTTGTGAAAGCGGCTGGGACGATTAATATAATGGAGGGGCGTGGCAGTTTTTTTGTTTTTTTTTTAAATCAACATCCGCATTCATCCCTTGCAGCCAATCGAATGGTATCATTGAAACCAACCTTGATGAGACATCTCCCTTGGTATCTGAAGGTACGGGTCCAAGGGACGGATCTCATAGGAAGCGAAAGACATGTTCAGAAAGGTATATAGAATGCATTCTTCACGACTCACTTTGACACATTTTCCCGACATCCATAACCAAAAATTATTGTATAACTAAATAACACAAACAACATTCTCTTTATTCCTTTTAAACTGACAGAACAAACGCTATATGAATAGTGTATACGTGTAAGCACTTGAAGAACAATCACTATTGTATATTGTCTACTTGTAAACGCTTAAAGAACCAACACTATTTTGTGTACTGTATACTTGTGAACAGTCGGTTAAAGAACAAACACTAAACGTATAGCGTATGCTTGTAAACTGTAAACACTTGAAGAAAAAACAATTACAGAACAAACCCTTAAAGAGCAAACATTAATAGAACAAACACTAAAAGATCAAACACTGATAGAACAAACACTGGGCTGTGACACACGTTCTTTTTGGGAACAGCTGTAGGCTGCTATCAGGCTTCACCATTATCTTTGAAGGCTGGAAGACATTCGCCAGCTACAAGGTGTGGCTGACAGGCCTGGCGCTTGCCTTCTTGTACATGACTGTCCTCGGCTTTGACAACATCACAGTAGGTACGTTCTGCTGAGGATTTCAATACATACTATTTGTTCATTATAGACGTAAATTTGTGGGAAAAAAACGTTGACTCTAACTGTAGTTAGGTATCATGTTTCAATAACCCAATACGCCTTTAGCACAGTGGTTCCCAAAATGTGTCCTAACGTCTGCTCCAGGAAATATAATAAAGCTAGCCGCTTGTAAGACGTACATTAGGTTTCGTGGCTCGCCTTATAGAAATTCTATTTTTAAAAAAGGGCTCCTTGAGTCCAAAAGATCGGGAACCACTGCTTTATTCTAATAGAGTTTCAATATTTAAAATTGGATTAAAAGATTTTTTGCAAACCAGTTTAAAACTTTCATAAGAATTCTTTTAAATTGTCAACAACAAAAAAAAAAACAATTAAATATATTGTTTTAATTATACAAATGGTTTGTGTCTCATAAACCTCTAAGGAATAAATAACGCAATGGGCACAATACCTTGGACATTTTGTTAGCATTAGTTTCGTATTTGTACAAATGAGACATTCCTCCCAATGGTCCTGGCGCCGTTGTTAAACCGCCCACAACGCCCTTTGTTTTAATTCCAGGCTACGCTAAAATCCAAGGCTTGAGTGAATCCATGGTCGGAGTTTGCATGGGGGCTGCGGGATTGCTGGGCATCTTCGGCTCCTTCATGTACCCGGTGGTGCGACGATGCGTGGGGTTGCCCAGGACCGGGATGATCGCCCTGACGCTACAGAGCGCCTTCTTGGCCCTGTGCGTCGTCTCGGTCTGGCTGCCTGGCAGTCCTTTCGATCTTGAGAACCCGGATCCTCCTGAAAAAAACTGCACAAATCTCAGTAAGTGGCTCACAAGAATCCACAAGTTGCGTAAACGTCTTAACTATAGATTATTAAAAAATAATAAACGATTTTTACGGGACAAATTTGAAATAGTTTTTTTTTTAAATTTTAGCATGTAATTCCATCTGGAATCTCTATACCAATGTTCTCCTCTGACATTGACCTCGTCGTGACCACTCAATACCAATGTTCTCCTCTGACATTGACCTCGGTGTGACCACTCAATACCAATGTTCTCCTCTGACATTGACATAAGCCGACCTCCTGATCATTTCAGCTCTTATTGTACCCTTGGACAACGGTAGCCAACCACTGCCTATCTACCAACTAACGACGCCAATACTCACAAACTTCACCTGCCCAGAAACAGAGACGTCAATAATCTCCGTCAGCTTTCTTATGACCGGAATAGTATTGTCCAGATTTGGTAAGTCTGAATTGTAATACACACACAAATTCACAAAACAAAAAAATTGTGTTTTTTTTTTTTTTGTTTTTTTTTGGTGTTTTTTTTAGTATAAGGGAAATAACACAGAAAAATGTTTAAATTAATTGTAATAATCATTTAGCTCCCCTTTTCATATTTAAAAAAAATTTATCTTATAACATAACACAAAAAAAGGGAATTATAACAACCAGGATTCAAACATAAAAAAAAAAAATTGTTTTTTTTTTTTTTTTTGTTTTTTTTTGGTGTTTTTTTTAGTATAAGGGAAATAACACAGAAAAATGTTTAAATTAATTGTAATAATCATTTAGCTCCCCTTTTCACATTTAAAAAAAATGTATCTTATATAATAACACAAAAAACGGGAATTATAACAACCAGGCTTCAAACATTTACTACGAACCTTGTTGTTATAAGTTTACAGCAGAACATTACTTGACTTAGTGACCTTGTTATGTACCTGCATAAACACATAATGTTGACATAAGTTAAACATTCAAACCAGGAATACTTTGTTCTTAACTTTATTTTTGTTTTTATGAAGTGTACGCATACTTTAGCCTTTTGAATCAGTGGCGTGTATATCTGACTCTCTCTGAAAATTAAAATAAATTGTGAAAATTAAAACTTTTTTTTTTCCCTTTTAATTCGCCATTCTAAAAACGGACGAGTCATCTTGTATAGCCTTACACCTTATATAGGTCCACACCCCGTACAGTCCCAAGGCCCCCCCCCCCCAACCACCCGATGACATCTTTCTCCAATCTAAACGTTTGTTGTCTCAGGGTTGTGGATGGCGGACCTGGCCATCACCCAGATGTTCATGGAGACCGTGGTCGAGAACGAAAGGGGCGTGGTCAACGGTGTTCAGAACTCTCTCAACCAGCTGATGGACATGATCAAGTTCGGCGTCGTCGTCGCCCTGCCCCTGGCGCCGCAGTTCGGGCTGCTCATCATCCTGTCCATCGGCTTCGTCTACAGCGGCTGGGTCCTGTATGCTGTCTTCCTGTGCCGCGTCCCGCGTGATCTCTTCAGCCGAGGTCGGCAGAAAAAAGAATATGAGGTTCTGGTGGAGTGACGATGTCTGCCGATGACTGCCGATGACCGCAGCATGCTGTACTCTATATTATTAACACTAGTTTTTTTAAAAAATGTATTTGACGAATTTAGTGTATCATTCATAATATAAGATATTTATAATTGAAGTAGCTAAAAGAAAATGTGCCTCTAGTTAATTTGTTGGGCTAAATTAGTCTGTGGTATAAGAAAACTGGAGGATAAACATCAGATTGTTGGACGTGGTTGATTCAAAGACGTGATAAGTTGTTATTCAAAGACGTGATAAGTTGTTATTCAAAGACGTGATAAGTTGTTATTCACAGACGTGATAAGCTGTTATTCAAAGACGTGATAAGTTGTTATTCAAAGACGTGATAAGTTGTTATTCACAGACGTGATAAGTTGTTATTCACAGACGTGATAAGCTGTTATTCAAAGACGTGATAAGTTGTTATTCAAAGACGATGCATCTTCAAAGACATGATAAGTTCTTGGGTATGTCTTATTCAAGGACGCGTGGTAATTTTTTTTTTAAATTACTGCTAGACAAACACAGACTTTTGTGCTATACCCCGATTTTCTTCTACATCAAAACACATACATTTGTGTTTAAACACGCTTACTACAACATAAACACACACATTTGTGTTAAATACGTTTACTACAACATAAACACATACATTTGTGTTTAAACACGTTTACTACAACATAACACATACATTTGTGTTTAAACACGTTCACTACTACAAAAAGTGACTGTCGTAGACTGGTCAAGACTGTCGTAGACTGGTCAAGACGGTCGTAGACCGGTCAAGACGGTCGTAGACTGGTCAAGACTGTCGTAGACGGTTTCGAATTAATGTTTCGTAGCGCGGCAACCTTCCGATAGCAGCTGACTCTTAAATCTACATGATATGGAAGACAACAAGGCAACTCAGAAGTATTTATGATATGGGAGACAACAAGGCAACTCAGAAATATTTATGATATGGGAGACAACAAGGCAACTCAGAAATATTTACGATAAGGGAGACAACAAGGCAACTCAGAAATATTTATGATATGGGAGACAACAAGGCAACTCAGTAATATTTATGATATGGGAGACAACAAGGCAACTCAGTAATATTTATGATATGGGAGACAACAAGGCAACTCAGTAATATTTATGATATGGGAGACAACAAGGCAAGTCAGAAATATTTACGATAAGGGAGACAACAAGGCAACTCAGAAATATTTATGATATGGGAGACAACAAGGCAACTCAGAAATATTTACGATATGGGAGACAACAAGGCAACTCAGTAATATTTATGATATGGGCGACAACAAGGCAACTCAGAAGTATTTATGATATGGAAGATAACAAAACATTTCAGAAATATTTAGGACATGGGAGACAACATTGAGTTTTAGACATATATATGATAGGGCAGACAATGGGACAAAGAAGCAAGTCATTTGGTTTGGGGGGGGGGGTATAATATTTGAATGAGATCATTTTTTCGTAATTAAAACGTACGAAATATGGAAGATAACAAAACATTTCAGAAATATTTAGGACATGGGAGACAACATTGAGTTTTAGACATATATATGATAGGGCAGACAATGGGACAAAGAAGCAAGTCATTTGGTTTGGGGGGGGGGTATAATATTTGAATGAGATCATTCTTTCGTAATTAAAACGTACGAAAATATCATGTGGGAAATGATCATGTGGAAAAAGATCATGTGGAAAAAGATCATGTGGAGAAGAGCATGTTTTAACATATGAATGCTATGAATAATAACAACTCTCCAACAATTGACCTTATGTATCCCATAATCTTTTGCTCATTTTCTCTAAATCCTCCACTACTTTCTCTCGCTGACCATCGCTGACCACTCTTCGAGACACGAAGTTAAATACTGTCCTCTCTCAACTCACAGAACCTATAGTTACCACGTCCGAAACTTACCCAACCAAATACCCGAACAATCTCTACTGGTCTTATCCTGGGCAACTTGTGGACTTTACCGGTCGACTAATGCACGTTCCATTTTCATGGAGTCTCAAGTTTCTCTCTGGGAGGCTCGGAACCATTTCCCTTCTATACTATAGAACGACGAACACAAATGAAACAGTAAGTCTTCTGAGGACCTTCGCTCATCAAGTCACCCACGGGGCGGAGGATATTTTCTAAGATATCCAGAGGATCAAAGTATCCCTTGCGTTGTTTATCACAGCACTTACAGGATGGTGCGCGTCATCCCCCCCACCCCTACGCACCCACTATGCATATGTCGTGTATCAACAAGCGAACCTTCTCCAATGAACTCTCTAACTTGATGTGGGCCGTTCTTAAGTTAGAAAGGAACCAACTCACTCGTGCTGATGCACAAAAACTGAAATTGATGTATCTCTTAAGTATTTTTTTGCTTGCGGTGTGACTGCCTCCATTTCCAAATGGCGCGCAAATTATAATTCCCGATAACTACGCTGAATTATTTCATTTGTTAAATAACGCAACTGCATTTGTAGCGTAATATTTTATTTCTTTTCGGAAAATGGTAATAAATATTGAATTTATAAGTAGTTGGGACATGACAATATTAATATAGTTCATGGTCGTGAAATAAAGAGTGTGCAGTGACGTATCATGGGGAAGGAGTGTAGCAAATATTGGGATTCTTAAATGTGCGTTACTTGAGTCCCTGTTTTGTCAAGTAATTTTACTAGATTGGAAATTCACGCATTGCTGTCGTCAATGTTTGGCGGGCTATGTCTATTATTTATTTATCTAAGTTTTCTCATTGATTTTATTTATTTTTTGCTTGCTTTTGTTAAAAAATAAGTGATGGAAGTACTTTTAATGACAAATGTTTAGTGCGCATATTATTGTCGTGGCATTGGTGTAACTAGGGTTAGTGCACCCCGGGTGCTGGTCGAGCTTTTTTTCCTCCCCACTTCCGCGAAAATGGCGCTCATCTATATAAAGAAAAAAGTGCAGCCCTGGGAACGTCTTGGGGGGGGGGGGATCTCTCCTCTGTGACTGGTTAAAGGCTGTTTGGCTGTTGTTTTTTTTTACAAAATGTGTTAATGAACAAAAATCCCCGGGTGCTGGTCGAGCTTTTTTTCCTCCCCACTTCCGCGAAAATGGCGCTCATCTATATAAAGAAAAAAGTGCAGCCCTGGGAACGTCTTGGGGGGGGGGGGGATCTCTCCTCTGTGACTGGTTAAAGGCTGTTTTGCTGTTGTTTTTTTTTACAAAATGTGTTCATGAACAAAAAGTGACGCTACACTCGCATCGGCGCTCTGTCATAGCTCCTGAAACCTATTTTTAACATATTCAAGTTTTTTTTTAATAAGTATCAAATCACGTGTATTGATACACATATATTCTTGTAGAGTACACCTAGGGAAAGCATTGGTAGGGAATGATAGATACACATATATTCTTGTAGTGTATAACTAGGAAAAGCACTGATAGGGAATGATTGATACATATATATTCTTGTAGTGTATAACTATGGAAAGCATTGGTAGGGAATGATTGATACACATATATTCTTGTAGTGTATAACTAGGGGAAGCATTAGTAGGGAATGATAGATACACATATATTCTTGTAGTGTATAACTAGGGGAAGCATTGGTAGGGAATGATAGATACACATATTATATTCTTGAAATGTACAACTAGGAAAAGCACTTGTAGGGAATGTTAGATACATATATATTCTTGTAGTGTACAACTAGGAAAAAGCACTTGTAGGGAATGATTGGTACACATATATTCTTGTAGTGTATAAATAGGAAAAGCACTGGTAGGGAACGATAGATACACATACATTCTTGTAGTGTATAACTAGGGAAAGCGTTGGTAGGGAATGATAGATACATATATATTCTTGTAGCGTACAACACGAAAAAGCACTTATGGGGAATGATGGATACACATATATTCTTATCGTGTACCACTAGCCAAAGCACTGGTAGGGAAAGATCAAGCATCAAAGAGGATTGGGGGGGGGGGGGGGGGGGGGGGGTCAAACACCTGACGTAGACAGAGACAGAGAAGGATGTGCTTACTGCCGGAAAGAGTTGGAAAGAGTGAAGTAAGATTGCAAGAGACCAAAAGGCGCGGACAGATTTTGTTGATGACCTATGTATTCCCACTGACGTTTAAAAAATAACACTGAAGAAGAAGACGTTCTTGTAGAGATAATAATTTGATTGAAGCAGTTCAGGAAATGGTCAAGCTTATACAGCATTTCTCGGCGGTTCAAGTGGATTGAACACGTCTCGAAAGTGTAAAAATTCGGTGCTTTCTTCCCTGAACATGCTCTCGACTTCATGTGCAGCCCTCTGGTACGCGTTGGGTCTTACCACACTTTCAATACGCCTTAACCCTCCTGTCTTACCACGCTCTCACTCCGCCTTGTCCTCGGGTCTTACCAAACTCTAACTACATCTTGTCCCTCGTGTCTTACCACACTCCCACTACGTCTTGTCCATCGTTTCTAACTCCACCTTGTCCCTCATGTCTTACCACACTCTAACTCCACCTTGTCCCTCGTGTCTTACCACACTCTAACTCCACCTTGTCCCTCGTGGATTACCACACTCTAACTCCACCTTGTCCCTCGTGCCTTACCACACTCCCTCTGCGCCTTGTCTATGGTGTCTTAACACACTCTCATTACGCCTTGTCCATGGTGTCTTACTACACTCTCACTACGCCTTGTCCATGGTGTCTTACCACACTTTCACTACGCCTTGTCTATGGTGTCTTACCCCACTCTCACTACGCCTTGTCCATTGTGTCTTACCACCATCTCATTCCGCAATGTCCCTCGAGTCTTACCACACTTTCACTCCGCCTTGTCCCTCGTGCCTTACCACACTCTCACTTCGCCTTTGCCCTCGTGTCTTACCACACCCAATTTTCGCCTTGTCCGTCGTGTCTTACGACACTCTCACTCTGCTTTGTCCACCATGTCTTACCACACTCTCACAACGCCTTGTCCTTCGTGTCTTACCACAACCTCTAAGCCTTTTCCCTCGTGTCTTACCACACTCTCACTACGCATTGTCTATTGTGTCTTACCACACTCTCACTAAGCCTTGTCCATGGTGTCTTACTACACTCTCATTACGCCTTGTCCATGGTGTCTCACCACACTTTCACTACGCCTTGTCTATGGTGTCTTACCCCACTCTCACTACGCCTTGTCCATTGTGTCTTTCCACACTCTCACTACGCCTTGTCCCTCGTGTCTTACATCACTCCCACTGCGCCTTGTCCATTGTGTCTTACCACACTCTCACTCCGCCTTGTCACTCGTGTCTTACCACAACCTTAAAGCCTTTTCTCTCGTGTCTTTCCACACTCTCACTCCGCCTTGTCCCTCGTGTCTTACCACACTCCCACTACGCCTTGTCCATTGTGTCTTACCACACTCTCATTACGCCTTGTCCCTCGTGTCTTACCACAACCTCTAAGCCTTTTCCCTCGTGTCTTACGACACTCTCACTACGCATTGTCCCTCATGTCTTACGACACTCTCACTACGCCTTGTCCCACGTGTCTTACCACATTCCCACTACGCCTTGTCCATGGTGTCTCACCACACTTTCACTACGCCTTGTCT